CCCCCTCCCCTCTCTCTCTCTCTCTCTCTCTCTATTTTTAGGGTAGTACATAAACTGATAAAAGATCCTCTCCCACCTCTGTCATAACCCTACTATTACTATCTCAGTTGTAACTCTTACATGCTTATCAGTGGTGGGTTATAGTTGAATCTAGAGAGAGAGAGAGAGAGATAGATTTATTTAGAGAGAGAAGAGAGGGGGAGAGGTTTTAGGAAAAACTAGAGAATAAAAGGAAAGCATAGAGGGCAGAGAGAGAGAGAGAGTGTAGAGATTTTAAGGAAAATAGAGAGAGAGAGAGAGAGATAGTTGATGGGAGAGAGGAAGAGAGATTTTAATGAAAATAGAGAGAGGGGGTATTTTAGGGAAAATAGAGAATAAGAGGAAAACATAAAGGGCAGGGAAAAGGATGAGACCATTAAGGGTGAGGAAGTATTCTTTTTGGGTTTATGGAAGGAGCGGGGAGGTGGGACCCATCCCCAGTGGGTTTTGATCCCTCGACAATGCATGCTGCTGACACCAACCGCCCTTGCCTTCCCCAAGTACCGCGAACCCCCCACCCCACAACTTTTTCTCAAATGACCAAAACACCCATTCTTCTCTCTTTGCTCTTTTTCTTTCTTCATGTAATAAAATATATAGCTTTTTTTTTTTTTTCCTTTCTTTTTTTAGTAAATTATGACCTCCTGGGCACTACCCTACTACTGGAAAAAATCACTTTTTTTTATAAAAATATGTAGCTCGAAGATGGAATTCTCAGATTGAAAGGCAATTTTGAAAAAATAAAATAAAATAAAATACGAGTTGTACATTTTTTTCACCCAAATTTACCTCATTTCGTACCCTTTTTTTTTTAGTAGGGCCTCTTGCCTATAGTAGAAATAGAAGTTAGGACATCATTTTGTAGGTGCCAGCCTTTGGCCCATTCCAGAAAAATATAAAGTAGGAGGAGTTGTTTTGTACTCTCTTAGCATAGGAGGAATTGTTTTGTACTCTCTTAGCATCTAGTGAAATCCTCTGTATGGTCTCCTCTTAGAATATGAGGGGCTCTCTATGGTGTGAGGGTGCTTTTGCCACATTTTCTCCACTCAAAACCAGATTTCTAAGACCCCGAAAAGAAGAAAACCAGGTTCCTTAGACCCTAAAATAGGCCAATATTTAAGTTTTGAAAAAAAATAAATTTTTTAATTCAATGGGAACAGGTTTTCAAAGCTATCAGTAAAATTGGAAAGCACGATGTACGATTAAGAAATTGGGCATGCTACCACCACAACCCTAGCCCTTTTCCTAACAGTGGCCTTAACAGAACAAAAAAATAAATGGTTTTAAAAATATAAATATGATTATAATTTTGAAATTTATTTATTTATTTTTTTATATTCATGTTCACTTTGGTTGAGATTCTTGTTATGTGCAAAAGCTCTAAACCCAACATGTTGATTTTTGGCAAATAAACTAAAAGGCAAATAAACTAACAGAAAAAAGTAGGGCTACATGTGGGTGTTCTTTTGAGTTGCTTTTTCTCTTTATGGGGTTATTTTGTAGGGAGAGAGTGAGAGAATTTGAGATGGACCTTTGGATGTTTTAAAGAAAGAAAGTCGTAGAGAGAAGAAGGTTTGGTGGGAGATCGAGTTATGTGTCTTTCAAGTAAGTGCGTTGTAATTTTTTTTTTTTATTTAGCAAAAAACATTGATCGTCTTCGTATGTGAATGTAGTCACTTCTCTGACGAACCACGTAAATTATGATGTTCTTTTTGTATTATTTCTTTTTTGCTTGTTGCAGTTTTTATTTTTTTCATACTTTATTTGCCAAAAATTAACCCGTTGGGTTTAAAGCTTCTACGTATAACAAGTGGTATCAGAGCGCATGGTTTAGTACAAAGCTAGTGTTTATATATTCAGTTGAAGAAAAGCACATGGCAAAGTATGTAAGCTTTTGTTTGAGATGAAGAAATATGATGGCAAACACTATTGTTTCAGTAAGAATAACGAATGAATTTATTTGACAAAAGATGAAGAATTTATAAAGCTATTCAATGGATGTTGGCATGGTGAGCAGGTGATTTTGATATCAAGGTGGAGATCGTTGGATTTGGTAATATCCAAAATCACTCGTATAAAAAAATCTCGTATCAAGTGGGATTGAGATTGACATTGATAAGCTTCCTAAAGGAAATAGAAATCCAAAAAGGTTATGACTCTTGGATGTGTCGCTTGGTTTTTGAGATATATGTAACATATGTAAGATAAAAGAAGAAAGAATATATGTGCCCTATTTAAGTCGAAAGGTGACTTCCTCTAGAGAGAGAGGCATGGGCCTCCTGTGCATGAGAGGCAAGGCCTTCCCTTAGGCCTTCTCTTAGAGAGAAGAAAGCTTCTTATAGAGAAAAACACCCTCTTATAGATTTTATGGAGAGAAACACCCTCATCTAGATTTAAAGACTTGTTTTTTGTAGAGAAGTGTTTCTCATGAAGATTTTGGATGGTTGTCTCTTTTAGTCAGAGAATGTCTTTATTGCTCTGAAGGATCTCTTCCTGGATAGTAATTTAACTATGTAAAAAAGGTGGATCTCTTCATGGACAATGATTTAGCTGTGGAATTAAGATGAGAGATCGGTAGTGATGCCGCTCAGGAGAGCAGGTCTAAAAGGGTTTACTCGACTGGATTTTTGTTGAGGGCTAGAGATGTAACTGTATGCTCTAAAATTTATGATGTAACTTTCACGGTATAGTGGGTTTTAGTTTGCCGTACCCGTAGTTGTAGCCCTTCTGAGGTGAATCACGTAAATTCTGATGTTCTTTTTTTCTGTTATTTCTTTCTTGCTTTATTTTATGTACTTGTTGCTGGTTCTATTTTTATCATACTTTATTTGTCAAAAATCAATCTGTTGGGTTTAGAGCTTCTGCACACAATAATTCTCAACTCCTAAAATTTAAAATTCGAAATCAATGTCTATAATGGATTTTTGGAGGGAGACTCATACAAATTAACGAGTCAGTGGACTCATCAAACCTTACCCTTAAATAGTACCCTAGGTTATAGACAAAACCTAGTTATTTTTCTCCTTGAAGCCAAACAACCCCTTAGTGTCCCTTTAATATGAAAAATAATGAATTTCACTCCAATAATATAATATTACTAATCATCATTATTGAGACAGGGCAAGATTGTTTAGCTTGTTGGGTCAGACTGCCAACCAGTGTCCTTTCCTGTTTAGTCCAAAGCAAAAATCTTTTTTGATCGAAAATCTATCAAAATCAATATTTGATTTGTTTTGGTGATCTGATTGACCAGTTTTGACTAGTCCAACCAGTTAAACAAAGTTGAGAACCTTTTTTTTTTTAATATGTTTTATTTTTTAAAATTATTCTTCCTGTTTTTTCTTTTATTGATCCACCTGTTCGATATTCGAACCGCTTTTTAATTAGACCAAACCCCTCACTGGTTCACTGGCCTGTCCGATCAAGATAATACTATGACTAATAGTGTAAATGCTTAAGATTCCAAAAAACTTGAAATGATATATGGATTGAATAATAATAGATAAAAATAAAAGAAACATGTATGGTTATAGGGCAACGGCAAGTATCACCATGGTCTAAGTTTAGAATCCCCATAGAGAATGGGCTCTAAGCGGAAGCGATCTGAATGGCAGATGTCACAACATGTCGTCTAGGACTCACTTCTCATGGCAGTCCAAGTTACCATTCCAAAAGAAGGAAAAAAAAGAGAGGTTAGAAACCCTCATACTACTTACAGGATAGAAATGACATTAGCACTGACGTTTAAGGTGTGAATTCCTGTCACACCTATCCAAACAAGAACTGGCCTTTAGGTTTCAGTAGCTTTCATTTGCTTCTTGCTTCTTATGTTACAAAAACTTAAGCTTCATTTTGAAGAGAGTTTGACAAGTAAGTTCATGATGGCCACGTTCACAAAATGAAGAATTGATTGATATGGAGAGAGAGAGAGAGTTTTGAACCAGGGTAACAATGCCCATAATAGCAAACTTGCTATTATTCCATCCTTATATTCGTGAAAAGTTTGTTCATCCCAAAATATCCATAAATAATTGTGGCTTCATTATGAGCATACCAAAAGAAGGCAACATCTTCAAACACCAGTGTTTTAAAAATCGCCTGTCTGACTCAAGATTTCCTTCGAGTCAGACAAATCAAGATGCTAGTGATTCCAAGCTGAAAAACTTTAGAATCACTTGTCGGCATATTTCGTTTGCGTGAAGTTATTTTCATGTAAAAAATTCCTTCATGTAGTTAGGTGTGAGAATATTTTCATATCCATTGGCTGCCAATTGGTGTGAAAAGATATATTGGGACCAATTGATTTGAAAATATTCCCGCACCTAACCATATAAGGGCCCTTTGAAAATAATGTTTTCACACGAACCAAACGTGAGTCTCCTAGTTTTTTTAGTATTTTTTTCTATTTTTCTTGTTTAAAAATCCCAGTGTAATTTAGGACTCACCTAAACTTAGGGGAATCGGGCTAGGACTCTAAGGTCAGAGCCT